TAATAATGAAGCATTTTGAACATATTTTTAAATTAGCAATGACATCTGTCATGAACTGAAACGGATTGAATTTTGTGTCTCAGCTGTTTTAATTCATCTGCATTAGTTTTCTCCCTCTCTGGATGAGAAAGTGTGAAGTAAAGATCTTTGTGTTTCCCATCTTTCTTCTTACTAAGCCAATGGACTTAATCATGGCAGCAGGGCCCGTACCCTGCAGAGCATCAATGACTCGTTACCCGTGATAACACGGCAGGACCCCGACCGACTGAGGAGATGCCTGAATTAAAATCCTGCTTCCATGGAAATAGGCACAGTGCCTCCCGGTCCTGCGTAACCTCTGAACTCTTGTCTTTGTCTCAGGACTGTGACAAGCGCTCCGAAATGGAGACGGAGGGAATGGGCGAAGAAAAGAAACAATTCTTTTTGCTGTCGAGTTTATAAGGCTGCCACATATTAAGTATAAAAAGAGGCCGCTGCTGCTTGTCGAGAGGTCCTTTAGATGTGGATGAAAGAGCCTCCTGAGGGTTTTCAAAGGGAAGGATCTGCATTGAGCTGGTGAGAAGCTCTCAGTTCCCATCTTTACCTTTATTACTATAACTACGGATAGCACTCAGCCACTAAGCTGATATAACAGTGAAACAGTGCACAGAGCCTTTGTGCCAAATCACTCCGATTCTACTGTTCCTAGAATAGCCTCAACAGTTAGATTTTCCTTCTGCTCTTCATTAAGTACATATCAAATATTCATGGCTATGGAAAGGTGTAACAATGACTTTAAGGGAGCCTGTTGAGTGTCTAATTTATTCAGACCATACAAGACATTCAGATGACTTAATCCCTGTGCTATTCCAGAAACCCAACTCGCTGTATTTCAGCTCTCAAAGGCCAAAGTTCCATTGGTAATGGTCACAGGGAGAGCCAAGATAAATGCCTGCTGCTTGTTTTCTTTGTGTGTGCAAAACTGCGTGTGTGTGTGTGTGTGTGTGTGTGTGTGTGTGTGTGTGTGTGTGT